ATTCTGCCACTTGGCCAGGATCATGGCCAAAATTTAAATGCAACAAAAAAGGGAAAACGAAGGCTGGCAGGAAATGCAGTTGGCACGGCACTGTAACAAATGCGGCACATTACCTTTTTAAATGTTCTGAATCTCTATCCGAATGTTCGAACTTGGAAAACATTTCTGATTTTCAAAGATGGTTGGCATATTTTTAAAATTTCTTTTAACATCTTGTATTTAATCAAATGGGGAAGCTAACTAATTGCATTATACTGTTCCTAGTGCCGCATTTTATTTATGAAGCGACGGAAAATCGTCATAGCCTGACATTTTTATTATTATCGCAGGGAACCAGGAACCCAAAACTCGGCCAGCTGTCCCTGTAGCTCGTACCCCTCCCGCAGAACCACCGCCCGCTATCCCCGGGCTCCTGCCCCTCCCCGCCCCTAACTTCGATGGTTTCGATGACTAGCCAAGCGTTGCCCGCTGCCGCGTTGACAAGCTCAATTTCCAATCGCAATAAAACGCAGCACTCGCAGTAAGATAAATGTGAGAAAAATGCAGGCCTCGGTCCGCGAAGCCCCCTCATCGATGGCTCCTGCTCTTTATGCCCCTTTCCAAGCCCCCTCTTTCCGTATCGCCGGTTTCCTTTCCTTCTTCCTCGACTTCTTGGTCTTGGCGTCTCTGTCTGGCCGACGTCGCCAAATCGCGTGGGTTTATCCTCCTGCAGGCTGAGCCAGAACCTGACCAGAACCTGGCCTGCAGCACAGTGGCCTCGCATTGGAGGGGTTCAAGTACCAGCAATAGAAGGGTTTCCAGCAATTCAAAATAAAATTCGAATGCTTACATGTACCCTCAGCTGTTTCTTATGATATGCCCCTTAACAAGTTTGGGCGTACGCCTCTGTACAATTTCTGTAGGGTTTTCTCATGCTTTTTTTCTGTTGTTTGGTTGCGTTTGCCTCTGTTTTTGGTGCGCTGCTTCAAGTGCCTGAAATTTATAGTGGTAATAAAATTTTATTTGCTCTTTTAGTTGATGGCACAATAAACTCTTCTGGCATTTTTCGGCCCCTTGAAGAGCACGTGCTTTCTGGTCTTCTTCTTCAGGTGATTATACTGAAATATATTCTATGTGAGACGAGACACGGATTGAGTACGATTGGTTTCAAGGTCATTTGTAAAAATAAAATATGTATCAATGTGGAATAAGTCCCTCCAGACAAGCACATTTCAGTAAACTATTTTTTCCCTTAGTTGGCCATGGCATTTGATAGTATCTTTGATTTATTCTAGAGTAGTTTTTGTAATAACGGTTCCCATTAAATTTCCTCATTTCAAAGAGTTTCTTGTGTGATTTCCATAATTGGAGCGAGTATTATTTTTAAGGCCACTGCTACGCGCTCCACCTTCCACGTTTCCAGGTCTTGCCAACTTCCCCCTGCCAAAACTTAGTCAAGCCAATTATTATTTAAATAAAATGCAAAGCAGCAACCCAAGCCGCCACCAGAAGTCGGAGCAGCCGAGCAGAACGCTCCTCTCCACTCGGTTTAATTGAGAGACATCCTCACAGCACACAGCACCTCCCCCTGCACCTCTCCACCTGAAGCCGAGACGCACTAACTGCTATAGGTTTACCGTTGTCGCTTCCTCTCGGACGCCTTTCTTCAAATGATGCCGACAACAATGGCAACCCAAGCAGCGGTGGCAACAGGAACAACCAGAACGAGAACATGAACTGACAGTTGACGGGCGACGCCTTCGTCTAACGGCTGAAAATGAACAAAAAATAAGGAATTAAGTCTATTTTAGCTCCTTTGAAGTCTTTAAAGTCCTTAGCTTTGTACGACCTAAAAATTGTTGGGTTGTGTAGAGTACATTTTTAAACCTGACTACCTACAATATTTAATATTTTGCGAAGCCTTCAAGTATTTTACAACCAAACTCAAAACGATTTTGTTCCGATATTGCATTCGCCCCAATTCCAACTGAAATACTATAAGTGTATGCATTACAAGAAGTTCTGCAATTTCCAAATTACTTCAAACGTCTAGTATTCATCCCCTTCAGTTGTACTGTGCGACGGCAAAACTGAAGCAGTTTCGATGGCAGTCGCAAATCAAAATGGCTGAGGCTGAAGTTGATGGCCGAAGAAAGAAGTCATTCATGTCGTTTCATTTGTGTTCATTTCGGCTCCGGACACATTGGTTAGACAGGGATGGCGCATGCGTGGGAGTGGATGAGCGGGATGGGAAAGTGTTGAGTGCTCATTAACCGAATTCTGGGTAAAATCTCCGCAGTGAGCGCTGGATAACCCGTCCACTGGTCCTCCGTTTCGCCGACGGATCTCCATTTGACCCGATTGGGGTTGGGCAATCAGCTGTCAAGGTGTGTGGCTTAAAACTGGTAACGGGTCTGCCCATATGGCATGCGCACTTTGCACATGTGTGTGTGTGGAAGTGTGTTCACTGCGAGTGTGTGCGTGGCTAAGTGGGCTGGGCTTAAAACTATGGTTCCTGTCTCGGCTTAACCTGAGTGCACGAGCAATGACGTTGCACAGTGGGACGAATGCGTATGATGATATCTTGGATTGCCAATTATTTGATAATAGATTTCTAACATAAAATTAATAAAATACTTCTTAAAACTGGCAGAGATTAAAGTTAATTTAAGGCATAAAGAATATATATATATATACAAATAATGTTTCGCCGATAACTAAGCAAATATTTTAATTACAAGATCTCAAAAGTATTTGTTTTTCCAGCAATATTAATACATTTATTAAGTGAAGAATCCGTACATCATAATATTGTATCTTAACATCACAGGGTGGGGACATATTCGTAAGAATTAAATTATTGAACAGCTATATTTATAGTAATTTCGAAATTCCACCCTTGCTATACCACTGCACAGTTAAGACTTTGCGTAGCTTGATGCACGTAAACTTTTATGCTTGGGCTCCACTGTACCACTGTAGCCGTCAGCTTCAATTTGAGTGCTGACAGTTCGCTGACATTCTGCTAGATGGCGCTGCCAGACCTATAATATACGTGGCATACTTTCCGGCTGTCGAGTCTGACGAAGTTTTGACAACTGTCATGTAAGTGCGTTAGTTTCTGGAATCAACGCTAGGTGGCGTCAGAGTTGATTTTAATTATTCGTTGAATTTAAAGGGGATGATCCTTTTTTATTCTACACTTTACCTCCAATTTGTTGTTTACTTTGCGGCACCTCGGAAAACTAATGGTAAAAATTTCATTTATAAACATTTTTGTAAGACTCACCCACATTCGTAAAAAAATGCATAAAGGAAGAAATGTGCAATCAGTAAAATTGCTGTTGCATTTACTTATAAATATTTAATTATTGAAGCTAGGAACTTGTGGGAAACTCAATGTAATTCGCTTTACGCTTGCAATTAAAGTGTGGCAAAATCAGTTACGGCAAATCAAATTTGAGCAATTTCTTCGCTTGAATAAATCACATCAGACAAACATAAATCATACACCGAGCAGGCATGTGACTCCTCCCCACTCCCCGCAGCCGCAGCAGCGGCAAAAACAGGAAGAACAGACAAAACACACATCAGACATTATTATCATCTCGCTTGTGCTTGAGTGGGTTTCTTTGCCTACCCCAAGGCTCTGGCCCCCGATTCTGCCCCTCGCCCCACCGCTTATCCACCCACATGTCTGATATAGGCAGAGATCGGGGCAGAGTCCAGCGATTTGCCAGCATCCGTTTGGCCCTCGACAAACACACACACAAACACACATACAGACATACACAAGGAGAGCACTCAGCACAACACACAACCACGAACGCACGCTTCCTTCCGCCGCTGCCATTGTCCTTTCGCGCCATTTTGCCCATCCCGAGACTCCGACTCCCGCTCAATCGCCATCATTGGGAATGTGTAATTGAAAGGGAAGCTTTTGGCTTTGGCAGCGTCGGAGGCAAGAAAATTATTTCGTTAACAAAAGGGAAATGCCAGGAAAAGTGGCGGGTGGCGGGTGTCGGAGAACCAGGAAGCGCATTCTCTGCAGGACAAATACAATGCAAGCAGTGAGAGAGGGGGGACAAGGCTGAAATACTTTAAAGTTTACCATTCTGCTTATTTTATTATGCTCTTTTTTATTGTTTGGCCCTTCGTGCTTTGTACAAGTCGGGGAAGTTTCATTTCCGACAGCAAGTTACCGTTAGTTAGCTGTGGATTTTCGGCAGGGTTGTCACCATCACCGCAGACTCAACTCGGAGCGAGCGGGACAGACATGTGAATATGCATGGCTTGGCAGGGAACGTGTGTCTCCGTCTCCCTCTTTCTGTCTGGATTACCGTCCAACTGAAGTTGGAGCGGGCAATTTTGTGATTTATGAGGTCAGAGACTCGTGATAATGAGCCAGGAAATTAAATCACTTTGACCGGAAGGATGTCAGGTCAGAAGGGGATAACACAATTGATTTCATATTCATAAATTCAATGAATGTTGTCTGCTTGTCAAGGGCGGGGCAAACGGGGGCAATCACATGATAGTGGAAGATCCTTGGTTTGAGGATTACAAAAGTTCTTGGGGGGACATTTCACAATGTCATCTTGGCTTGACTTGTCAAATTTCTGCAAAGAGGGCGACTGCAGGGTTCCCAGCAGGTTTACTGCTGAGTTATAACATGACAACATAAAAAATCGATTATTATTATAAATTTTCTTAGATTTCTTTTTAAGTATTCGGGTTTCAGACTGGCAATCAATTTGCCGAAAGATAATCGGTAATCTTGAAAGAAACTTGAGCAGAATTTACACACTCTACAAAATCTTCCCGCTCCCAAAGCGCCAAGACTTTGGCATAATTTTAAGAACTCGTCGATGCGTGCAAGAAACAATTTATTAGCGAACTCCACATGTTTCTTTCATCTTAGGGAACATGTGAAATCAGACCGCCAAAATCCCACTTCGAAATTCACTATACATTAATACTTTGAGATGAGCACACCAATAATAATATCAAATTATTTACAGAGTTTCAAAATCAAAATTGAGGAATACCAACTAGAGGATAAGGCTACATAAGGATCAAAGAACACCAAGGAGACGAGATTTTCTACCAAATCGAGGGACGAGGGGCAGGATAATTTCGTCAAGACAGCAAATAGAGGAACAGCAAAGCGGAAATCATTTTATACCTCACACAACAACTACACACTAACTAAGATTAGGCTACGCAACTGTACATTGTACTTAAGTGTTCAAAGTATTTTTAGGTAAGTAAGCTTCAAAAGGCTGATCCATATCAGCGATTGAATGTCTCTGATATGTTTAGCTTTTAAATATCCATTGCAATATTCTAATTTGGTTTTCCCTATTATCCAGTTTACTTTGTATATAAGACAAGTAGCTAAAAGCACGCAGACAGGGAGGCAGGAGCACCACAGTCACTAGCCACTAAGCAGAGTCACAGTCACGATCACGTTCACTCCAGGATCAGGACTCGGGGCGGGATCAGCAGACGCTGAGGAAGCTGCCACAATGACGATGAGTACAAACAACTGCGAGAGCATGACCTCGTACTTCACCAACTCGTACATGGGGGCGGACATGCATCATGGCCACTACCCGGGCAACGGGGTCACCGACCTGGACGCCCAGCAGATGCACCACTACAGCCAGAACGCGAATCACCAGGGCAACATGCCCTACCCGCGCTTCCCGCCCTACGACCGCATGCCCTACTACAACGGCCAGGGGATGGACCAGCAGCAGCAGCAGCACCAGGTCTACTCCCGCCCGGACAGCCCCTCCAGCCAGGTGGGTGGGGTCATGCCCCAGGCGCAGACCAACGGTCAGTTGGGTGTGCCCCAGCAGCAGCAGCAGCAGCAACAGCCCTCGCAGAACCAGCAGCAACAGCAGGCGCAGCAGGCCCCGCAGCAACTGCAGCAGCAGCTGCCGCAGGTGACGCAACAGGTGACACATCCGCAGCAGCAGCAACAGCAGCCCGTAGTCTATGCCAGCTGCAAGTTGCAGGCGGCCGTCGGCGGACTGGGCATGGTTCCCGAGGGCGGATCGCCTCCGCTGGTGGATCAGATGTCCGGTCACCACATGAACGCCCAGATGACGCTGCCCCATCACATGGGACATCCGCAGGCGCAGGTGAGCACGGATCTTATATCGTAGCTTTGAAGGGGGACTGTGGAAAACATTTTTCATTGGCGCACTAAGAAATTATCACAGGGCAATACAACTTTCCTTATTAAGTCTTTTTATATGGTTCTTCTGGCAATTGAAGTTTAAATGTAGTTTATTTTCACTAATTTCCCAAATCGAAGTCCTTTCACCACCCGCATATCTCGCCAACCACTTAACGCTTTTCCCATCTTTTTCACTGCCGCTTTTGCCGCTCGCACCTGCAGTTGGGCTACACGGACGTTGGAGTTCCCGACGTGACAGAGGTAAGATTGAGTCCACTTTGCGCTTCTCACCTACTTCAACATCTGCTAAAAGCTAACCTCTTCCACCGGTTGATGGTCTAAAGATATATCCCTAGAATTGCGGTATCACTTATCTAACATTTTCCCATCGCAGGTCCATCAGAACCATCACAACATGGGCATGTACCAGCAGCAGTCGGGAGTTCCGCCGGTGGGTGCTCCACCTCAGGGCATGATGCACCAGGGCCAGGGTCCTCCACAGATGCACCAGGGACATCCTGGCCAACACACGCCTCCTTCCCAAAACCCGAACTCGCAGTCCTCGGGGATGCCGTCTCCACTGTATCCCTGGATGCGAAGTCAGTTTGGTAAGTGTCAAGGAAAGTGATCGACAATTCCACGAAACGTATTAAGTGGAATTTTTCTTCTTCTTATCGTAGTGGGTTGAAGTAGTTAGTTCCCTGTTTAGAATTGGCCGTAGTTCCCTTTAGAATCTTAACTGTGCATACAACAGCTAGAGCTGTATTACCTTATGATTAATAATACTATAACTTTTACAGCGAACCTCGTGCTGCGAAACAAAGCAGTACAAAGCAGTCGAATACACAGCTTGGTAGCGCGTTTACTGCTTGACAGTAGATCACATAGCAAGCAGTGATGCGAGCAGTTCAAGTCTGCTTGATAAGACGTTTAACATTTAAACATTTTTGGTTTGCAAATTGAAGTACGCTTTTATACTTATCAATTTTGTAGTTCAATGATCAAACATAAAGAATTATGTATTTTTTGTATTTTTGAAATACTGCAATACTTAATTAAAAAATGCAATATATATACTCAGTTTTTGTAACGTATTTCGTTGCCTCAAAAAAAGGAAATTACAATTGGACAAACAAAATATTTCTCAGTTGCTCGACTGATTTATTCAAATAATTTTGTAAAACCTGAAGCGATTTTATCTTCCTGCTGAACTCCTGCCTCAAATAATCTTGAATGTGTTTGCATTTGACTCACAACGTTTCTGCGACGACCTTGACACGTCCGGGTAATTTCACTTTATTGCCATGGCCAATTGCTTGGCATCAACCGTAATCCATCTGCAAAGACAACCCGATACCTGACATTTGTTCAAATTTGCGAATTTCCCAAATCCGAAAATCGATGAATGCAGGCAGATGAAAGATGAAAGTCGAAAGAGGTGGCGAATAGGTGCTCCTTGGGTTCCGCTTGCCCAGAAGATCGCGGCACAGGAGGCGGTCCTGCCAGCTAATGCAAATTGACAATAGTTCGAAATGCAACGAACTGCAACATAAAGGTTTGCCAAAACCCTAGGCGTAACTAATGGGCGCTGGAAAGTAGAGCACACAGACTGCATGTGGTTCTGGCTTAGGCCTAGAGGAAGTTGCATAAGTGGGGACAGTGCTCGGCGGCCTTTCGAGCGAAATCGGCGTAAGGACAAGAAGGCGAGTCCTTTCCAAATATAGAATTCCAGTGGCATGGCACTTTCCCCGGAGAAAGTGAAAGCAGGCCTCAAGTGGTTCAAGTCGGTTCCTGCTGACCTGCTCCCTGCTCATTACGGAGTCCAAGAAGCCCTCCCCATACAGAGCTCTAGATGCTGTTGTGGTTTTTTGTTTGTAGCCGGCTGTATTTTTTCGCCAAAGCCAGATTGAGATGTAAAGCAGAATTGATGAGCGCCATTAGTTACACGTTATGTGCAATGGATGCCATCAATTTATTAATCTCCAGAACACGCCGAGGCTCCATTCATAGCACCACTCCGCAGTGGCCACTTCGTCGTCTTAATCCCCTCCCTCCTCCTCCGCGGCGGTGCAAAAAACATAAAGAACGCGCCTTAAAAAAATAAAGCGATGGACGGCAGGCTCCGCGGTGACATGAAGTTTTCCCCTCTTTTCTCTTATTATATACTCTTTGCTGGACTTTTTGCTCCTTTCCTTTATTAAAAATTGAGCGGTCAGAGAGATGAGGAGGAAGGGGCCTGGAGAACTAAAGCTGGAGTTGGCCCAAAGCTCGGTCTGCATCTCCCGCGGCGGCAACTGCGGCATTCTCACTGTGCCACAACATGATCCCGGGCTTAAGTTACGATGATTAAATGCATACGAGTTTATTTCTGCTTAGGTTTTTGCCTCGTCTGCGCTACTCCTCCTCCTCCGAGTTCGATGCATTTTGCATAGCCCATAAAAACTCGGAGACAGTGGGACAAATCGAAGATTGCCCGAGGGCCTCAGGCGTCTGGCGAACTGGATGAGATCTGCATTGAGGGATTGGCTAGATCTGGGTTGGCCTGGGTTGCAGTTTAAGTTACTTCTAAACTTTGTTTGTCTTTATTTATTTTGAAATATGAACAGGAGTACCACACACATATATCATACATGCCTCTCCATTCCTAAAGCTACTGGTTACATGTTCAATTATATGCCTGTCAGCAACCTGTTGGCATATCCTAACTTATAACAGTTCAGAAACCCCTTTCTTAGCCAGCAATTTTGTTTCTACACAAAATTCCCATATATTTCGCCCAACTCCCAGCTCCACTGTAACACGATTGCAACTACTTAACGCCTGGACATTTTTCAGGCGTGCATTAGGCAACAACTAAGGCGAACAAATAAAAAGATAAAGGTGCCACAAAGGTTCCGATCGTGACTGGGCAAGGCGAGAAGAGTCTGCTCTGGGTCTTCCGAGGCTGAAGAAGTGTAGGGAAACGAAGCTTCGTTTCAATTAAGTTGTAACTCATGGCTGGCATGCAGCACAATGGGACCTGGAACCTCCTTGGCCTTCAGTCCGCTTTCCTGACTTAATGTTGTTTGGATATTTACCCAGTTCAGCTCGATTTCCGCCGCTTTCCTCCTCATTGTCTCGCTTACATTTGATAATTCGCTGGCAAGTAGGGGAGGAAACTTGCACTCCAAGGCGAATCCTTTGGATGCTGCTTGCTCTCATTGCGGTCCTGGAGTTTTGGGGTCATAAATTAAAGCGACAGTCAACAATTTTTGCAACAAGTGTTTGCTTGGCCTCCTTTGCTTTCATTGCTACACATAGAGCAAATACCCCTTAAAGTTGGTGGATTATTCAAAGAGTGAGGGACAACATAAAGTGCCTGCTTGTGGTAATTTTTACCATATATGTAGATACTAAATAGAATAATTACAATACAGCCAGACTAACATACAGACTAAAGTTTTTGTAGACTTGGTTCACTTCTCTTACTTAAATTGGGCACAGTGCAATTGTTGGCCACCTAAGGTGCGGTGTTGTTGCTCTCGAGTAAATGCATTTTTTATTGCCGCTGTCAGAGGCGCTCATTGTGATTCACTCAGATTGCCTGGGAAATCTCTCGCTTGCACAAAATGGAAATATTTATGCCAGCGGAGCCAGAGCTGAGCACTTTTCAATTCTGGCCAGGACGAGCGGGAAAAGTGCACTTCATTGTGCGCATTATAAGCGACAGTTTCCACTCCTCTACCCCCGAAAGCTGTCAGTGGGGTTCAAGACAATGAAAAGAACTTCTCGCTGGCCAAAAAGTTGCACGTTGTCTGCTGGAAAAACTTTTGCTCTGGCTTTGGTAAAACGTTGATCCCGGCCATCATCCGTTTGGCATTTGCCGGGATCCACGGAGCGGAGGGCGAACTTTCCTATCCTTGGACTTTGTTGTCTGTTGGCGCTGCACTTAATGTCCTGGAGAGTTTTGCTTAACTTGAGGATTTGCGCGCAAACTACTTTTCGATGGCACGAGAGCGACAGTGGGCGGTGGGTGCGGACTACTACTTAGGCAGACGATTGGCCCGGCTTAGATGTGTCCACCCAAAGTGAAATTGTGTTAACGTATTTTCCTCTGCCATTCCTCAGGATTTACATACCCTATACCGAAGTTGCATTGAAGCATTCCATTCACAATGCTGTCGCATAAGTCAGGGAATCATAATGGAATAATAGGTTTAAAAGTCTTATTATGATTTTAAACCCAAAATACTTATCGGAAATATATCCGATTTACGGATAAATACGGGATACCAGGTATTTCATAGTTCCAATCACTATACCATCACCTTTTTTTTGTATTTCTTTGCCGTTGGCAATTTAAGCGGGCGGATCAAAAGATAATTTGCCAAGTGCGTGAAGATTTTTTCTAAATATATTCGCATACATATAGAAGAACTCACCCCTCTGACAGGGTCTGTCAAAAAATTTGAGCAACGTGAAGCACAAAAAATGACACAGGAACTTTGGGGATTTCCAGCCCACAACACACACAAACATTCTGCGGCACTGGGTGGAAAAGTTTAATAAAGCGCAGCAAATGCGAAGAGGAAATTTCGCTTTTATTTCGGCAGAACCACCTACCACCACTCTACCTCCCCGCCCCTGGCTTTGTGGCCAGCTGAGGAGCGCAAAATAATGGCAACAGCTCGCCAAAGGTCCTTGGGGGCCCAGAACTCGGAGATGGGTCAGTTTTGGACATGGTAAAGGCATTTGGGGCCTCGTGGCTCAATCGCTGCTCTGTTTTCGCATTCCATTTTTTCTTCATCTTCTGTTCTGTTTGGGACCGCTGCTGTTTTCGTATTTTGGGATTTGGCCAACCTTTTGACAAATTACGAATATTATTCATGCAGCAATGAAGTGAGGAAGCTCTTGTCGCCCCTCGCCCACCTTTTGCGGCTCCTGCGGTCGCAGTTCGGCGTTTCGATTCCTTTTAAAATGTATCTGATGGCAGAATAGGAATGCAGAAATATCCTAACTGGTTAGGAATTATTAATTGCGGTTATGCACGAACTTGGAGAAAGGACGGCAGACCCTTGAAGCTGAAGCCCTTCGCAATTATTTCAATTAGGGATAATGAACGTTTAAGTACCTTCCTTGAAGTGAAATCTTTTTCAAGACGCGTATGCATATATGTGAAGGAAATAGAAAATATATACTATATAATATGATTACTAAACCAAGACAGCAACAAAAATCAGTAACCTAGAATATTAGGCTGTACTATGTCATGATTTAAGTATCTTTCGGTTTGTGCATTTTAAAAGTTTTAGTTATTATTAGAAAATTGTCTTAAATTGCCGGCTTAGTTCGGTTGAAGCAGGCTGAGTTGCATTCCTTAACTTGCTTTCATCATACTTGTAGTTGTGGTTATGCAGGCCCACTAGCCTAATTCCTATTGAACGAGGGCATCCTCTCCAGTTTCCGCCCAACATCCTGTGCTCTCGCCCCTCTCTCCCACTGCCGCTGTCGACGTCGACGTCGACGTCGTGAGTGGCAGCCACATGTTTCAATGGCTGCCGGCCAGCGGCCATTAGAGGAAGCGGGATGGCAGGCGAGGGAGTGAGAGACAGAGAAAGACATTTCGGCT